GAAAAGTGCAAACTCCATATGTTGGTCCGGTGTTATGTGGTGCTAATGAAAATAGAATTTACCCTATTGGACAATGCACTGTTCGTGTTCTGATCGACGGAATTCGTCACCATATACAATTGGCTGTGCTTTCTTCATGTGCTCATCCGATTATATTGGGCTGGGACTTCCTGTCAGCCGCTTCCGCTGTCATTTCGTGTGGTCCGCCCGTTATTCGCATTACGGACACTGAAAATTCTAGTGCTTACGATTTTTCGTCGCCTCACCTTGTTGCAGCTGCAGACTTTGTACTGCCCCCGGCCCAAGAACGTATCCTCACCATTAGATCCAGCGATACCATTGACGGTGACGCAGTGGTTGTCCCCGATCAGCGCTGCATTTTCCGAGGAATCGCCATCGCATGTTGTCTAGTGCGGTTTTCGCGTGGTCATGCCAGTCTCACCGCCTACAACACGACAACAGAGCCACAACTACTGCCAGAGGGGTCCACTGTTGCCAGCCTTATCGACATAGCACCGGTATGTGTCGTCACTGTATCGTCTCCGCCGTCAGTCGCTAAGTGTACGCCACCAGGAGGCTCATCTAATGCGCTTAAAGCCACTTTGAGTCCATATCTCACTCCAACGCAAACTAATGACTTAATGGCCCTTTTAACAAAACACAAGACTTGTTTTGACGTTTGTTCGGATGGCTTAGGTCAAACTACGGTGACCTCTCATCACATCGCCACAGACGGTTCTCGTATTATCCGCCGTCGCCCTTACCGCGTGTCGTCTTCAGAACGCAAGGTCATCGAGGAACAAGTCAATGACATGCTCGCACGCAACGTTATCAGACCTTCCACAAGCCCTTGGTCTTCTCCTGTTGTCCTAGTTAAGAAAAGGGACGGATCAGTGCGATTTTGCGTTGATTACAGGGCACTAAACAAAATTACGCGCAAGGATGTATATCCTATGCCTCGAATTGACGATGCACTTGACACCTTACAGGGTGCAGAATATTTCTCAAGTCTCGACCTACGATCTGGGTATTGGCAGATCCCGATGCATGAGTCTGATAAAGAGAAGACAGCGTTTGCTACTCCTGATGGTCTCTTCGAATTCAATGTGATGCCTTTTGGGCTCTGCAATGCCCCAGCCACATTTGAGCGGATGATCGATACGGTGCTGCGTGGCCTAAAATGGAAGACCTGTCTTTGTTACCTGGATGACATCGTCATCTTTTCATCCAGCTTCTCGCAACACCTAGAACGTCTAGACGAGGTGCTCACATGTCTAGCCAAAGCCGGTCTCCAGCTAAATACCAAGAAGTGTCGGTTTGCGAGCCGCAGCATCAAAGTGTTAGGCCACGTTGTCAGCAAGCTTGGCATCGAACCTGATCCCGACAAAGTGGCCGCTGTGCTGCACTTTCCTAAGCCCACCACGCTCAAAGACCTTCGCAGCTTCCTCGGCTTAGCCTCTTACTTCCGCCGTTTTGTCCGTGATTTTGCCACTATCGCGGCTCCTCTTCACAAACTCCTGACCACAAGTGCATCATTTCTTTGGACAGATGACTGTGAAGCTGCTTTCCAGACCCTGAAGCGATGCCTCACGTCAGGGCCAGTTCTTCGCCACTTTGATCCCACAGCCCCTACTATATTACACACTGACGCAAGTGGGCACGGAATCGGCGCTGTTCTGCTGCAGCGTGACCAGGCTTCACAAGAGCAAGTCGTGGCTTACGCGAGCCGTACTCTCTCCCCAGCGGAACGCAATTACAGCATCACTGAACAGGAATGTCTCGCTATCGTATGGTCCGTGCAAAAATTTCGCCCCTATTTGTATGGCCGCCGCTTCACGATCGTCACGGATCATCATGCGCTCTGTTGGTTGTCATCATTAAAAAACTTGTCAGGACGCCTCGGTCGTTGGGTGCTCCGACTGCAGGAGTATGACTACAGTGTCACATACCGGTCGGGCCGCAAACACCAAGATGCCGACGCTTTGTCACGCTGTCCGCTGTTGCAAAATCATGACGCATCTACCTGCTGCGCAGCACCTCCCAGCCAAGAGACCACGCAGATGACCAGTCTTAGTCCCATCGAGCCCACTGCACCGGATGACTTCCTTCAATCCGCAGACCTCACCTCGCTCCAACGTGCAGACACATACTGCCGTACAATCATCGATCGGCTCACCGGCTCATCTCGTGCTCCCAACAGCCGCTTGCGACGACAACTCACGCGTTTCAAACTTCATGACGGAACGCTACTTCGACAAACTTACCATCCTCTCGGTAGCCGATGGGTCCCGGTCATACCTCGCTCACTTCGACTCCAAGTCTTAGAAGCCTTTCATGACGACCCGACGGCTGGCCACTTGGGTTTTCATAAAACCTACGATCGCATTAAGACTCGCTGCTTCTGGCCTGGCCTCTCCACTAGTGTTTCCAGGTACGTCACTTCCTGTTCATCATGTCAGCACCGAAAACGTTCGACATCTCTTCCCGCCGGCCCTCTACAGCCTCTCCCGTGCCCATCCGCTCCCTTCGAGTTCGTCGGCATAGACTTATACGGACCCCTTCCGCTTACCGCCGCCGGTCACCGCTGGATTGTTACTGCCGTAGACCATCTTACTCGCTACGCTGAGACGGCAGCTCTTCCTACTGGAGCTGCCAGCGAAGTAGCCGACTTTGTTCTGCGTGCCATTATCCTGCGCCACGGCGCCCCTCGTGTTCTCCTGAGTGACCGTGGCAAGACATTTCTTTCTCGTGTGCTCGCTGAAGTTTTACAGGCCTCTGACACAATCCATAAGACCACCTCGGCATATCATCCGCAAACCAATGGTCTTACTGAGCGTTTTCATAGAACTTTGTCAGACATGATCTCTATGTATGTCCAACCCGATCACAAGAACTGGGACACAATACTACCTTTCGTCACGTTTGCCTATAACACTGCCATACAACGCACTACAAGTTACAGCCCGTTTTTTCTTGTGTATGGCCGTGCACCATCTTTTGTTCTAGACACCAGCTTTTTGTCCACGCCTTCTGTCCCATCTGCGTCCCTTCCGGAAGAATTCGCTGCCCGTGTCAACCACTGCCGCACAATCGCCCGCGCCAACACCTCTACCATTCAGGCCCAGCGAAAAGTTCGTTGTGATGCGACACGTCGAGTTGTGTCATTCTACCCAGGCGACGAAGTGCTCCTCTGGACACCTGTTCGCACACCCGGCCTCTGTGAAAAATTCATTCACAGATACCTGGGTCCTTACACCGTGCTTGAACGAACATCGGCCGTAAATTATCGCGTCGCGCCGGTTACTTCGGCTTCTGATCGCCGTCGTCGCGGGACCGAGATCGTCCATGTGTCTCGCCTGAAACCTTATATCCAGCGCTCATACACTTACTAAATGAACGTCTTGCAGACCGCTTTCGTGTAGGGGGGAAATAGTGTGAGCGCTGATTGTGTTGCTTATCATTTTCACTTTCACCTGCGCATACAAAGCACCGTGATCATCATCATCGTAGCGGCTCGCTGTTTGTTCGGTTGCTGGCTCGCGCGTCTGGGTTGACAATAAAACGGTCGCTCCTTCGTACCTGACGTCGTCTCACAATATATATATATATATATATATATATAGTTATTTTTTCACCACTTTTCTTTCTTCTTATTATTTACGTTACATTGGTTCTAATAACTTCCCCTATACATTCCTTGGCATTATTGCCTGTTAGATCCCATTATTTTGTGTCAAAACACGGAAAAACGAGCCCTTAGGTATACACTTCTTTCCCTTATTTATTAACGCGGGTCTCGTACTGGCAGACTTGGTGCCGTTAGGCTGTATACGAGGGACTATTGGTCAGCTGCCCGCTCGTAATAAGTTCACGAGCTACGTGACGCCACACAGGCTCATAAAAAGGTGGTCCACACTCGCCGCTATGGCTACAGACGGCGCTGACTGACACTCCCACGTTTAAATTCACAAAGAAACCCAATAAAGTGGCTGGGGGGATAGCCGCCGTGATAGCTTAGTGGTTAGAGCACCGAACGCGTTATTCGAAGGTCGTAGGTTCGATTCGTGCTCACGGCAAGTTATTTTTTCACCCACTTTTCTTTTTTCTTATTTACATTACATTGGTTCTAATAACTTCCCGCATACATTCCTTGGCATTATTGTCTGTTAGATCTCATTAATATTGTGTCAAAACACGGAAAAACGAGCCCTTAGGTATACAGTTAATTCCCTTGTATGTATGTATGTATGTATGTATGTATGTATGTATGTATGTATGTATGTATGTATGTATGTATGTATGTATGTATGTATGTATGTATTACTGGCTGATATGAGCATCGTAAGCTGCGTAGTCTATGTGGCAGCAGCCACAGTGTATCACGACGTGTGGAAAGTAAAAAAAAAGCAATGGCTCAAAGTAACGAAGTAATGTATGGACGTAGCATGCCCCCTCCCCCTTTTCTCTGCTATTACGGTTTGATTCCAGCACGCTCGTTGTACAGAACTTATACAGAATGAAAGAGCAGTTGAAGCGAGTGATAATCCCTGCAACTTCTCTCGTACTAGACTGATTGTTCTAAAAAGTTTGCGGCAGTCCTTCGTGACGAAATAAATTCCGATGGTGAGGTCTTTCGATGATTACTCAAAGAAGCGTTGGAGGGCCTTCAAATCTGCAAATCCGTATACTCGCATGCCGCTTTACTTTTGACAGCGACGGTACTTGAGACACTTTACGTCAAGTTGCGAAAGCTTATACTGAACGCGCATGTGTGCGCACGTTACCTTCTTTGTAATTTTATTTTTTTATTTATTGTTATATGTGTTTATGTTGCTCATTGTGAATAATTGGTGGCATTGATTAGTTGTTTTGGCTGACAATGCATCTTCCTTCGTAATTTACTTTTCTGTAACCCCCCCCCACTGTAATGCCTATTCGCGCTACAGGTATGAAATAAATAAATAAATAAATAAATATTTAAAAATAAATTTGACACGTACCTGGCACCGACGTTGGGGAACAGGCCGGTGTTGATGAACACCGGACACACGGTGGTGAGCTTGATGAACTCGAATCCCGTGTGGAAGAGCTCCTCCTCCAGTGCGTACATGAAGCCCAGGGCCGCGAATTTGGAAGCACTGCGCGAAAACAGTATGGCGACCGTCGAGACAATGCAGATTTTTTTTTTCCACTACCGCGAAAACGGAAGCCAGCGGCTGCGTTTTCGCGTCGTTCTCGCGTCAGTTCACGCTTCAGCTAAAGCCACTCTGTACCACGTCACGTGGGAGTGTCAGGCCATTACAGCCTTACAACCAGTACAAAATCCAACAGCGGAGCGATGGGAGGAGCTGCTGGCCAGCGAGAACCTGGAAGATCAATTGAGTCTGATCAACCGGGCCCGCAGAGCGGCTGCTGCAAGCGGAGCCCTGGACTAAGGGCCCCCCCACCGCAAGCCAAGCATGTCCGACTACTCGGAGCTTCTCCGCAGAAAATTTCATGTAATTAAATAAATAAATATGTTTCCACCACCACCCTGAGTTCCCGCGCTTCCCACAAGACATCACCAAACGTAGGCGCTGCAGCGCGCGGCTCTCTGGCGTGGTATTGAACCTTCCTCTTCTTTCGAGAGAGAGCGCGCGGCTACAACAAGCTGCCCGCCCTCCCTCCATAAAGAGAGGTACGCGACGCCGCGTCAAAAGGCCACACGCTGCATCGCGTACGTGTGGTCAGGCCTTCATCCGAGTGAAACGACACGCATTTGTCCCAAAAGGTACTCCAGAGGACAGCTGCCGATATAACAGAGCTAGCGCGATTTCTACGTCACGAGACAAAGGGCCACGACGATTGGTGGGAAGTGCCGTCGAGGGGCGCTGAAAATCGTTGCTCTACACGTCGTTATGTGCGCAGACGCGATCCACCAGGGCCTAACCACATGAAGATTTTCCGTAAAAGAATTCGTGGCACCTGTTATGCATTTAGTGGACGGCTATTCGTAGCGTTGTAGTGCAGTAATGCAGGCACTACGGAATCGGGGCCTCGACGAACCCTATACATAAACATACTGGAGCAAATGTACAGTGTGTTCCACATAACTTGAGCCAAGAATTTGAAAGTGAGAGGCACTGAGGAGGCGAATGGAACCAAACGCATACTACTCGCACTAGCCTGTAGGTACTCTGGCTATATTTTATTTCTTCAAGTACTAATTAATTATCAACTATTAATTACTCATTTTCAATTATGGGCTGGAAACTCAAAATATGAACAATGAGATGTAGAGCACTTTCAGAAACCACCGACTCAACTGTTTCCTGTATAGTACGTCACGCGCTGTTATTTTTTTCCACGTCGTAAATAAAGCCCGCGAAATGTGAAAAGAAGCCGTGTGACGGATCGCGAGCGCACTGATATAGTGCTCCTATATGCTTTCTTTACAACGCTAAAAAATAACAGCGCTAGACGCATGGTACAGAAAACAATTTAGTCGGCGGTTCGCAGGTATAACGTGGCAGCAGAACCGGGTCGATCGGCGGATCATGGCAGAGGCCTTTGCGCTGCAGTGGGCGTAGTCAGGCCGTTGAAGATTATGATGACCGTTGGCGTTCGGGAAACGGTGTTACTCCCCCGTGGAACTATGCACAATGGGAGACATGCAATGAGCACTTGGCTAACTTGTCTTCCTCAATGGGACTTGAGAAATTAGTAAACAACATATGCAAGAACACCTTTACAGGTAGCACGCAGCGTGAAGCGGCAGAATACAGAACTACCAGGCAGCTTCACCAACAGAGATTTACAGTTAAAATGCGACATAACAAACTTTAGTATAATGGCACTCTCCGCATAACAAAATGTTTTAATTTCCCCAATTGCATGCTTATTTTCCTTGCACTATTGATTTTCTTTTAATGTACGGCCTATTATTTATTATTGAGATTATTCCGGCACTTTCCGGGCAAGAGAAGAAGCCTTTGGGCGCTGTTACTTTTCCTAAAAGTTCGACTTTCAATTTAACGAAGTTTCGATATAAAGAAGTAAGCTTCTACCAACTCATAATCATCTCAGCACAATGCGTTGGCGGGGTAGTTGGTGCAAATCCGTTGTGCTTTTTTGAGCGCGAAACTACGCCAGAAGGCAGACAGGACTGAGCGCTTCTCTGGACTCATTCGAGAGCCGAGTTCTAGCCAGCGACATCATTTTGCTCGAAAAAAGAAGAAAAAAAGGGGGGGTCTACGACTTCGTCGTTATATCAAGGTTTAGCTGTCTGAATGGCATCATTAGGCACGAGGGTTGCAGATGCATTACGGTGCTGGAATATTCGTAATATGTAATACGGTCATCACCGCAAAGACATCTGCTACCTCTCTTTCCACGTATTGCGTCAGGGCTCGCATCAATCTTTTCAGGAAAAAAAAATGTTAGGAAAGGCAGAAATAGTGTACGCAATACGGAGTAGCGATTACAAACCAGGTCCCTGCACGCAGTGCTCTTTCAAAAGGCCATAGGTCTTCGAAAGAAAACCTCGCCTTACATGCTGGAAAGCCGAGCAACGAGGGTAACAAATCACGACCGCAGGTGCAACCGCATTCGTGATCCCGTAAAAAACCACCAAGCGGTGGGATCCCACGGAAGAGTGATAGTTTTTGCCTTCCACCACGCGGCTATTTATTTTATTTTATTTTTTCAGTTCCCGAGTCACCGGACACTGCAGCGGCCGAGAACTATTTCGCGCATTCTTCACGGGAAAGAAATGCTGGGCGACGTAATAATCTCGAGAAACCACGCGAAAACGGAGCAAAAGAAGTGACGAGGGCATCCGTTCTTAGGGATTCAGACAGAACAGCGGACGATATTTCACGTCACATTTTTTTCTTCTTTTTTGTTCACGAGAAGAAAAGTACAGGATCACTTCGCTTTGCTATTCGTATCCGCGTTTTCTCTCTGCTCATTCGGAGGATCCACTCCTTTTTTTTTAGACGTATAAGAGTCATTCAGATCCGATCTCGAGCCCGTCGTAAACTGCAGTTCCGTATGCCCCAAGGGTATTATAGCTAGCAAAAATAAATAAATAAAGAAAAATGCACGAACTTAGCAGTGTGCCTCTTAATTTATATTTTTATTTTTTAACTACAAGTAAAAAGGTAATGGAAGAGGTTGGCGCTTTTCTTAAATCTTTCGCAATACAGGAAAGAGTACAAAAGGACGACAGCTCCAATCAGAAAGAGCTATAGTCTATAGAGTATGCGTGTAACAGCCATACGTCGGCAAAATAAGTGCAGTTCATTCAGACTCACTGAAGAAATATGTGTAGCGAAGCCTCCGAACTCTGAAATGGGTCTATTTTTCATATGGTCATAGACATATGGTCTATTTTTCGCCAAGGAATCACCCAGACCCAGACTCAAGATTCTTCAATTAGACTCACTCTGACGCAACACTACCAAAAATCTTCGTTAACAAGACTCACTCGCACTCAGACGCATGAAAAGTTTCCTCAAGCGGACTCACTTATACTATAGAGAGTCACCAAGATTTTCCTCAAGTAGACTCACTTGAGGAAGAGATAGACTTCCAATGCAGTAGGTGCCAGGTTCGATTCCCAGTGACGACCCAATCGTTTTCCCAATGGTTAGAGGAGTACACCAACCTGGCGCTCGGTTGTTTTTGGGCACTCATCTCAAAAGCTAGCCCCACAAGGTTCTGCGAAGGCCCCTGAGCATGCTTTAACCCACCATAGCCTTGTGAAATAGTTGAGCATCCAGCGTTGCTGTGGGATACAGGGAATTGCCGCCGCCATACACCTATAGTGGCTAAATAGGTACAAGCGCACTGCCGGTCTGGTGCTGGGCAGAACGGTTCGTAGTCACTTGGGATAGCACCCTCCTTGTGACAAATTGGCAGCATGGGACCACCAAACCTAAAAGTAAGATCACCTTTTTTTTGCTCAAACTTATACTCACCAAATAACTCGTTCAAACTGACTCGCACCCATCCTCACGGCTAGATCTGAGTCTTATTGAGTTTACTGACTTATGCTTGTAGCAAACAAACGTTGAAGACGAAAATAAAGCTATAGAGTACGAAGATTGCATCTAAGATAATCTAATTCTGTAGAAGAAGCTGCTTTACAAAAGCTTTTATCGTTTATTTTCAGTCTGGCCCTTAACTGACTAAAGGAAAGCTGGCCGAAAATTACTACAGTTTGGTCAGCTTAGTGCAACACAGTGGGAGCCAATTAGGTAGGCAAGTGGAAAGGGCAGGTCCCTTCCCTTTCCGAAATTCTTCCAGTCGGCAATTAACGCAGCGTTTTCCACAACGGATTAACTCACATCTTGTGCTGCATTCTACTTTGTTCTCATTTTTTTTAATTAGGCGCCTTCTATATTTACGGGTAACATTTTTGTTTTGCCATTGATAGACTTTCTTTCGAACAGTCAAACCTTGTCCACCGTCATCCCCCGTAAAAAAAATCCTGGCTACTTACCTGGTCTGAGCGAAAGGAGACGAAAACAAGACGCACAGTTAAACCATGCCCAAACTTCAAAGCTCCCCGTACCTTTTACATCGGTACAACCGAAGGATCTCCGATGTATTAATATTAACCTCGCTTTTGTATATCAGCTGCTTTTGCTGCTTGATGTGATGCTCTCATCGGCGCCAAAAAACAGGAAAAAAAACTACAGGGTTTTTTTATACATCCACAACAGACAACTTGAAAGCGAGATCCACACGTGGGGCTATGTTACCACACACTTTCCTTATTACTTATTTTATTTATGCGCAGTCATTCTAGTTTTGCAATTTAATGAATTTATAATACTTTCAATTCACTCGTACGTACTTTCATTTATATCCGCGGTGGTGGTCTGTTCGTTATGGTACTTAGCTGCTCGCCCGAAGGCCGCCAGGTCGAATACCGATCACGGCTGCCTCATATCACGGGGGGCAAAACGCTACTGACCTGCTTAGATTTAGGTGCACGTTTAGGAACTCCATGTGGTCGACTTTTCCGGAGTCTTCCACTACTATCTCCCTCACTATCGCAATATCGTGGCTTCGGGACGTTAAACAGCAACAGTTATCATTTATACCTTCAGTTACGTTCAATCAGCTTCCAATTGCCGTGCCGGTTCCCCAA